CGCACACACTATAAAAACTACCCTCTGAAACTGGCATGCTAAAGCTGTTGTCTTCGCAGCAGAGAATAAGGAACTGGAAGCATTTGGAAGAGGTATGGAAGAGTGAGCTTATAGAGGAGCAAGTCTGCAGAAGAATTAGAAAGGAAGAGAGGAATCTGGGCATTGCGGTTCACACCTATAGTCCCAGCACTCGGGGAGCAGAGGTCTTCCATGAGTTCAAGGCCAGCTAGGGCTACATAGAGAGATGCTATCTCAAAAACACGCAAACAAGCAAAAACAAAACAAAAGAAAAAAGCTAAACTAGATAAGATGGGGAAAAGAGGAACAGGCAAGCACACTCTTGTTTGCATAGTGTTAGGACAGAAGACTAGGTGTAATGGTGAACACCTTTACTCCCTAGATTCAGGGAGGCAGAGACCCATAGAAGTCTCTGAGTTTAAGGCCAACCTGGTCTACATGGTGAGGCCCATGCCAGACTGGGCTACATAATGAGGCCCTGCCTTTTAAAAAAGGTTTCAGGGCTGACATTTTTATTTTATGTTGAGAAATCAAGTGTTGTTGCTAAATTCTCTCATCATCCTGAAAAGAAACTGAACCCGAAATGAGCCTTCCCATGCAAAAAGTTCCCAATCTATGTACAGGACAAACTATCACACAAAGCATTGCCCTTGTGGATCAACTATGTCCCCCTAACTTAGTCACAAGCTAAGAGGAAATACCACTCCCAAAACCTCAGGGGAAAAAAAGGAGAAGAGGAAGAGGAAGAGGAGGGGGAGGAAGAGGAGGAGAAGCAAAGATGAAAATATCCAGCAAGACCCAAATGTAGAACCTGTTACATGAGACAGTGTTACCTAGAATTCCTGCCTTGTAGCCGCACACTTCTTCAATAAGCAACTCGGTGGCCTCAGTAAAACCAAGTTCTATTCTCTTCTTTCAGAGACCCCCAAGCCCATTCTTTAGATTCATAATGGCTTATATGTCTGTGATGGCTGTGCTGAGATTCAAAACACACATGAACCTGAAGCTCACTCATGGGAATAAAGAGAAATATTTCGCGAAGATTTGTACAGGAGAGAATGATGCCCCTGGCGGGTCATCAGGGGATCTGGGGTCTATCCCCCATCCTGCCATCAACTGGCAGTGTGACTCTGAATGTGTCAAGCAATTTCGAGAACCAAGAGACAGAGGCAGCCCGGGTTTTACACCCTTCGATTCTAAAGCAGCAGCAGAAAAAAAAATCTTTTGCTCTAAAATATATCTAAAAGCATCCTTGAAATTATCTTTCAAGTATTTATTTAATATGCATATGAGTATCACGAGTGTTTTGTCCGCATGGGCATCTGTGAACCAGATGTATGACTGGTACCCACAGAGGCCACAAGAGGGTGTGGATGTGCTTGAACTGGAGTTACAGATGGTTGTTAGATGATGAGTAGGTGCTGGGGATCAAAGCTAGACTCCCTGGAAGAGTAGCCAGTGCTCTTTACCCCTAAGCCATCTCTCTAGCCCCCAAATACTTTCAAGAAACTTCAGTTCAGTCTTTTCTCTAGCAAAATAAATGTCATATATTACCAAACCATTAAAGCTGTAAAATAATATATACAATAACTCAAGTACATTTCAAATCATACACACCCTCTTTCTTTACACACACATATGCCCATACACACACACTATAGTGCTGTTTATAAAGATTTTATCATTGCACTTTAAAATTCTAACTTTCTTCAATGATAATTTCTTATATTATCAGAAAAATGAACTTTTAAATTGGGATATCTTCCAATATACTCTCTGTCAAATTGTGACAGTCCTGAAAGTCTATCTGAGTACACATATAATTTACAAAATGCCCCAGATTCGTGCACATAGTCAAAACAATTGACATAAACACTTTTGAGAACAAATAAATTTTAAAATCTGTTAGAGGGATTAGAAGAATTCTGATAATGAAAGTGATAAACATGGGGCTAAAAATAAAACTAGTGCTTGAACCAAGTCAAGGGAACTATAGCTAAGAACCGACTTCTAATCTATTTGAAATTCATTAAAAGTGTATTTTCAAGCATGCTTTATATTTCCTCTCTTTCCATCTAGTGCTATGAACTTTTTGGTTGCTTGTAAAGATGATTAAAAGTTGCCAGCATTTGGCATAAAGGCATATTACATTCAGCAAGCTCTACCTGGGAATCTGACTATAATGCCCAGAAGGTATCAACTACCTCACATGACATCAAGGCTAGAAGCATTAAGAAAAACAATTTCAAAGCTCAGAAGAGCTCTTAGGAAATTTTAATATCAACCCTTAAACAAGAGGTGATGACTACAGAGAAGGATCATGGGAACATTATGGGGATTTTAAAAGATGGCAAGGAAACAAGTTAGGCCTGCTCAGACCATAATGTCCTCAGAAGTCCTGGCAGCAATCCGAGAGCTCTGGAGAAAGTCTGGAGACCCACTTCAAGAGTACATGTTTCATTGCCTCCCACAACCGGGGGCTCGCCCCGTCACATCTTCTGATGGGATGACAGTGACCATGTTGCCCCCAGCTCAGAACAAACTAGAAAGAGCAAGAATGTACTTTTGGCAAGCCCTGTTGGTGGTGCAGCTTCCAAACTATTGTCTGTTTTTCCTCAGGGAACAGATGTGACTCACGCAACAGAGGACTCTGGGCACAGCTTCCCACCTGCAGCTCTCAGTGGAGGAGGTGAACAGTTCACTTCCTGCCACAGCGTCCCACAATGCACTCTGACAACTCAGTCCTGTGCTGCCCCGGCCAGTTTAGTTAAATCCACAGGGCAAAGTATCACAAATAGAATCCCAGGCAAGAGGACAGTTGCCCACAGGCCCAAATTAACTATGGGTCCCCAAGAAGCTGACCCTTACCTGTCACAGAGAAAGGACTCTAAAGGAAAACCAAGTCCGCCATGGCAGGAGGAGGACAGGCACGTTGCCTCCATGGCTGCCACTCTGCTCTCCCCACCAACAGCAGATGCTCGCAGGGACCGTGTTCACAGGCCTCCTCACTCGGGTTTTAATGTGAAACTTCTTCCCTTTCTCTTTCTTTGTCCTTGAGACCAGCAGCACTGAGCTCACTGAGGAAACAGAGCCTAAGGGGTTACACCTGCAACCCAAACTTTCCATTCTGTGTGGGGGTTTTATTTTTCTTTCCTAAAGCAAAACAATTCAGAGGAAGTTTCTGAACCAGTGTCTGTCCTTAGGCCAATGGTCACCAACAGTGACAGCAAAGCTTTATAGTTTCAGATGTGACCCAAATTTATGACTTTCACTATCCGGATTTCACCTCTGCTTCCTACAGAGTTCCTCCGCAGGCTGTCTTCTCTTTCTCTATGTTGGAGAGAGTGAACTCCAACATTTAAGTCATTGAAGAAAATGGCTGAAGGTTATCTAAGAGGAACGACCAGCCAATGCCATTTCCTCCTGTCCCCGAGACCCTGTTCTGTCACAACTTATGTACTACCCTAGAAGAATTCATATGGACAACATAGTCTTGGGCACTCCTACAGGGCAGAGCACCAAGGTCCCTCTGCTTTTCTCCCAACATTCCGCACAAATATTTGGTTCTGCTCACAGAGTATGAGCCAATATGACAGGGAAGCCAGGATGGTGATCATGGCATTATGACAATTCCCAAGAACATAATCCAGCATCATTAAAATCAAGTAAACAGTAAACAGTAAATAATCACCCAAGTTTCAATTCCAAACAAACCTATCACAGCATGAGAAATGTCCGAAGAGTGACCGTGTGCCCTTCACCCCAGTTCTGGGCAGTCCCGTTTGCAAGAAGAACTCATCTTCATTTTGAATGTATTACTCCACTGTGTATGAAAGAAAGGAGGCAAGGACAGCAGTAGCTGCTGGTAACCCTGATAATGTGAGTTCAAGGCCAGCCTTGGCTACACGAAAAGATTCCGTATCAATATAAAACCAATGGGCGGGGAGAAGCATGTATGGAGTCAGTATCTGAAGATGAAGTGTGAGGACCAGAACCCACATGGAAGCCAGGGAACATGGCATCCTGCCTGTAACCCTGGAGCTGCAGAGGTAGAGGCAAACTGGCTAGCTGGCCTAGCACACACACACACACACACACACACACACACACACACACACACACACATACACGCCTAACTATAACTATATATAACTATATAAGTATACATATATGCTACATATGTAACATTTATATGCATATGTATATATAACAAAGAAAAAAGGCCATGAATTTTAGAAAGAGCAGTGGAGAAGGGGGACATGGGAAGGGTTAGAGGGAAGAAGAGGAAGAGGAAATGATGTAATTTCAATATTTTAAAAATTGAAGAAAAAAGAAAAAGCCAGGATCTGTGACACATACCTTTAATCCCAGCACTCGGCAGGCAGAGGCAGGAGGATCTCTGAGTTCAAGCCCAGCCTGGTCAACAGTTCCAGGACAGCCAGGGATGCAGAGATAAATACTCTCTCAATAAACAAAAACAAAACAAAAAGACAAGGGGAAGGCCTGAAGGCTTCATGATGTCTGGCCTGACAATGCCCCATGTGTTCTAAGCACACTTGGCAACTGTGCTATGAAGTAGGAATCATTTCCTCCCCTTACCTCCTCCTCACCCCTAACAAGAAAACTTGGTGCACCAGGAGGCAGGATGTCACCTTGTGTCACCGAGCACCGAGGCACAGAACTCTGGTCCAGCTTCACAATACTTCTCACTGCAGCTGAGCATCCCGTGTCTGCCTGCACGGGGCTACCAAAGCTTCACTGTGGACTTAGAAACAGTGGACGGCCATAAACTGTGTGCAGCCATAACCTGTGTCAAAGGTGCGGGTATTACATGCTGAGTCAGTGCTGTGCTTTGCAGAGAGATAATGCCCACATATTCTCAGCAGTCAGCTAGGGCGGGAGACAGACAGCTGGGGACCAGGGCTGCAAAGCACAGAAACATTTCTCTCCCAACTTTTCTGTGTCCACACCTCAACGAGCTTCCCGTCCGGCTGTTTCAATGACTCATACGGACGGGAACAAGGCAGGTGTCACTGGGCCAAATCTGGGGAGATGGAATGCTACCTCTCCCTCCCAGCTGGGTTGCGTAAGGAAAGAGGCTTGTGCAACCGGCTTACAGAAACTTCCACTGTGGCCCTGGCTTCCCTGCTCTCGGCCATAGTCTATGGTGTTTGGTTTCCCGTCTTCACCCCACTGCCTTGGTGTCTAGAAGAAGAGGTACGTTAACTTTAAAAGGGCCAAGGATGAGGTGGTGCGGGGACCGCAGTAAGCAGTGGAGCCTTCACCACTCAGGGGGTCCTCAAAAGCGTTGCCATGTGATGTGACTGCTCTAGAACATTCGGTAGTGAAGAAAGGGTTAGAAGAGGGGGTACCCTCGGCTAAAAGTCGTCCTGAAGAAGACGCTGGCTGAGGGGAGGGCCACGTTTGATTTAAGTGTGTCTTTGAATCCTTCCACCGTCGGATGTCTGGTCTCTGCTCTTTGGTGGAAAGTTAGCCCCAGTAAGAAGGAAAAGCAATCTTTAGGAGACTACTAAAAGGTTACAGAGCAATTTACATTTAAATAGGTAATTACTGAACAAAATCGAAATATAAATCTAAAGGAATGATTATAATGTCTGAGAGTGTGTAACAAGGGGGGGGTGCTACCTCAGCACCCTACCGAATCTCATCCCTCAAGGCAGGATCAGCAAAGAGAATAGCCTGTCCCTGTAGAACCTATAGACACTACCTAGCTACAACATTAGTGGCCAATGAATCACACCAGGAGATTGCTTCGAGACGGGTCCTCTTTCACGTAGCCTCGGCATGATGCTCACAGGCCTCCAACATCTCTCCAACACTGCCTAATCTCTATTTTTGACATATAGAGAGAAGGCACAAAAACCAGAGCCTTGTGGGTTTACTTTTGGCAAGTTTTTATTCTTGGCAGTATAACTTTTTGGGAAAGCTAAATGTTTTTTGATGAATAGGGCTGGAGAAGTGGCTCCGTGGTTAAGGGCACTGCTGTCTTTTCTGAGGACACCCTAAACAAGTAAGTGTAATAACAAAAAAGATTCTGTGAAAGAAATAAAATTAACAGTATCTATTTGAAATAAGTAAATTAGGTAAATTCTGACACAAGTGCTATGTGCCAGTAAGGAAAATAACTCATAGACATCTCAGGTAGCCAAATGTAAGATTCAGTCAGACTCAGCAAAACAAGCCTAGGCTGAACATTGGGGCAGCAAGTCCAGATACAAGACAAGACACGGTAGCATTCCCAGGCAGAAGCAAAAGAGACCAGGATTCATTGTCCAAGCTCATTTCCCTTGGCAAGGTGGACCAAAAGGAACCATTCAAGGTAATGCAGATACAAAATTCGTACTAGGATTTTTTTCTTCAGTGAGTTCATAATTCCATTACAGCAATAGGAATATGGCATTTGAGCCCAAACTTTCAAATGAAGTACATGTTCCTCTCTTTCCATGATCTAGTCATGCTTCATTTAACACTCGATACCACCCATGTCTCTGCAGAACTGATAGCAAGCAAAGCCATATAACTTTCTTCATAAAAACAGCATTATGTAAAATACGGCCTAAAGTCTGTAAAGAAATGCAGAATCACAATTCTTAAAAAGGAAGAGAAATCATGACAGTCCTTTGTTTTGTCACAAAGAAAGTTTATCACCCAATAAAAAAGAAATTATACTTGTAGCTTTAAATAGACAAGACTCAGATTGTCAAAGTGCACATATTTCCTTGAAAATGGTCACCCTTAGGCAGGAAAGACAAAATCGCTTTTAAAGACCGAACTTTTAGACTGAACTGGGAAGAGTGTTTACAAGAAACAAAGGAACATCGAGCGAATGGTACAGTCTCTAGCTGGTCAGTACATAACCAAACCTAGCTACAGAATCATTTAAAGGCCCCTTCACAGTAGCAATGGTGACAGGTGACCTCCTTCTCAGAGGCTAAGGCTATCCTGGAAGGGTGTCTGAAACCTCCCACGTGTTCAAACCTTAGCACTCGGGGGAATCCACCAGCTCCAACAGCTCTTTTGTTTAGAAGGATGCGTTAAAACATACACAACTAAACTCATTAATCAATATCGTAGTCTCGAGAAGGATCCATGGTTTATATTTGATGTAGAAATAACCAGTTGAATAGGTTTTTGGTTTTTTAAAAAATTAGGTCAACCAGGTTACTTGGCATACAGCTGCTTAAGTAAATGACCTTTTTGCAAAGGAGCAATGTTGAAATGTCGTCAGGCCAGTCTGGATGTTGATAAGAGTGTAGAATTTAATTGCACACTGGGTGCCTGCGAATCAGGCTGCTACCACACCGGCTGAAAGCTAAACATTCTGCTACCCCCACCAGGAAGGCTTAGCAAGACTAAGTGCTCAGCTTGGAAGGCGCAGGATCCACGCACCAAATACAAAGAGGAGGAGGGGCTTGCTAAACATTACTAAGAACTTCAATACAGGGACAGTAAGATGCATCGTTGACACAGGAGCCCGATGACCTGCCACTCAGGTAACTGTGAAAAGAGAGGCAACTCCACCAGGCTGTCCTCTATTCTCTACAGTGACGAAGCTAAGCCCCACATCTACATCACACATACGTGCACACATACACAAACTTTTTAGAACAAGAATTTCAATAGAGGAGAAACAGAGATTTAAACCAGCATTAGCCTGGGTCGGTCCGGGAGAAGCCGCAGGCTGAGCATGCTAGCAGCAGGCTCCTGAACTTCCCATTTATCCCTTCTTCCTTCCAAGAACTTCCCACTAAACTAGTACCCCAGGTGTTCAGCCTAAACACAAATGAAAAGAGAGCGCGGCCCCCAAGCGGCAGATTCCCCTTAAAGGATGTAAGCACAGAGGTAACCCTGCCATGTCTTCTTTCTCTCTGCCATTATTTATCATTTATCACCGCCATTATCGCCATCTTAAACAAAGACTTCCCGAAATGCTTTAGTTTCCCGCTGCAAAGTCAGACCAAGTAACTGTTTGACTGTTGCTAACAGGCAATTCTGTGTACTATAAAGGAAGAAATTAATAGTCATATGAAAGTCAAAGCCTACATGAGCCCACCACAGCCTGGCTGCTCTTACCACAGTGGTGTCTTTCTCTCTTCCTGTCAATGCATCTTTCTCCACTCAAGACAGGATGCCAGCTACCAGGAGAAGTTACCGCCCCTTTCCTACCACAAGCTCCAGAGCCCTTCCACACCACAGGAATCCCTGTTACTCCCAGAGAGGGAGTGTGCCTTGTGGCTTAACCTCAAAATGGAATAGCTGTACAAATTCTGATATTTTTCTTTGGTGTCACTCTGCCTGTCAGAGCCTAGGCTGCTGTATCATCAGTGTGGGTTAGCCTCTTCTCCCCAAAGCTGGCCTCACACTTCTCTGTATTTCCTCCCGACTCTTCATGCTTTCCCTGGGGAAAAAATGAAAAAAGAAAACACCTAGTGCCTCTGTATTTTAAAAGGCCAGCTCTGACTCATGCCTGCTCCTGCATGTGCTCAAGATTTTGATCGACCACACACACACACACACACACACACACACACACACACACACACACACACACCCCAGAAAGAGAAGTCAGTGCACAGGCTCTACCTCTGAGTTCTAGTATCATTTCCTCTTTCTCTATTTGGAAACCTTATTCTCTCGCACCTTAACAACTCTTTCCTGGCAATGAACTATGAAGAGGTGATGATTTCTTCCAAATTAGGAGGACATTAACAATTAAGTGTTAATGTGGACGCCGTTAACAGTAATGCAATTATAACTGTATTCCACAAAGGGCGATAGGAAATAATTACCCTGATCCTCAAGTGAGAGTTGCAGGAGAATGAGATTCTCAATCTACAATTCATTAGGAAGGGCTTGGAAACCCAGATGCACACCTATGGCTGCAGGAGCGGCTACTGCAGTGACAACAGCCACCTGTCAGTGACAAAGCAGGTATGCACATCCAGTCTGTTGCAGCGAGGGACCTGGGACCACTAGCTCACTGCTCTAGGGACGGCCAGGCCAGACGGCACTCCAAATGGGCCTTCTCGGAACAGCCAGAGATGCCGTTCTAAGCCTCCAGGCTAGACCAACTGCAACTGATGCCCAATCGCCACGCGGTTACTGAGGATGGGGAAGTGACTCCCAGGAAAAGGCTCATCCCCAGTTGCCACATACATGTCAGCATTGAGACTGGAGCAGAAGCGCCGGGCAGCTGCAAATGAACCGTCAATGCCTGTCTCAGTTCTATTTGATCGAGACTGCAGGACTGAACGGAGAAGCTGATAGAATCTGTCAATCGCGAGTGTTCGCTCCTAATAGTACACAAACGGGAATCTGGCCTCTGAGTTCTCCATTAATCCTGGGTCTCAACAGTCCTTCGATAACCCATACACTCTCTCCTCCGTCTGTGTCTCAAGGATTATCGGTGCTAACAACGGATAAAACAAACTTTTTTTGATAATTTCCCTTCCTTAGAGTCTCTGATGGACTTGCCTAGATGAAGAATGGCGAAATAAAACCAGCCTAGGTGTTTAGATTCTTATGTTTTTCTTTGATGTCACTCTGCCTATCAGAGCCTAGCCTGCTGTATCATCAGTGTGGGTTAGCCTCTTCTCCCCAAAGTTGGCCTCATACTTCTCTGTATTTCCTCCTGACTCTTCAGGCTTTGCCTGGGGAAAAAATGAAAAAAGAAAAGAAAAGAAAAGAAAAGAAAAGAAAAGAAAAGAAAAGAAAAGAAAAAACCAAGTGCCTCCCTATTCTGTAAAGCCAACCCGGGATCAGACTCTTTGTGTACTCATGGTTTTGTTACCACAACCCAGAATCCTGCTGGGTACACTCCTACCTACAAATCTCTGCTCATTTTCCCTTTCAGGCCCCTAAATCTGCCCCCTTCAATATTCAAGTTTCCCTGAAAAGCTTTTACTTCTTTCACATCCACCCACAACTCTGCTGAATCACATCGGACTGAGGATATTAAAGTACGATTACCCAAATGTGTGCAATTAGAGAAATGGTCTTTCTAAAATACAATAGAATCCTCATTATTATATAGTCACTGGAATTGACAAGGACCACATCTCCATCTTCTCTTCAGGTCTTATGATGGAGCATAGGCTCTACAAATTCACGCTAGTTGGTCGAGGACAGAAATATCATCCCTCTGACTGGAAGGCACATCCTGGACAACTGGTAACCAGCAGTGTCCACTACCAGATCAGGACACTTCTAAGTTATCGATAGGGTAGGTAAGGGTATAGAGCTAGGAAATGCCTGGGTAGACTGTGATGAGTCATGATAGCACATCCCCTACAGGAAAGTACTTTAAGGATGTATTTAGTGGTCAGTTCTCATGTACATGGTAACCAATAAAAACTTCCTACATAGATTCTGACAGATCAAAGAAAGAAAATACCAGAATTTGTTAACCAATGGATCTCTGTTGAAGGCAAGAGACAAAAAAGAAACATCTATCTTCCATTTTCAATTTATCATTGTTTTATGAATAGGCATGTCTACTAGATAGTATAGAAATTAATTTTAAAAATTAAAGAATTCACTATTCTCTACTGTTTGACATTATACATGTAGAGAATAATGAAGTCATTGATATCACAGCACAGTAGTTCTTATATGTAATTGGAAATTTCTTTTATTGTTTCTTTCAACATTTAATAAATGTCATCTTTGTTCGCATATTTTAGAAATAACCATGATATGATATTCTTTAAGAAATCAAAATAGCCTTAAATCTGGGCTGACAGAGAAGTTTTGGAAACTGTACAAAATGCTGCAGATAGGTAAAGGGAATATATAGACCTATGTACAAAACTAGGAACATAAGCTATCAAGTGTAACTAGATAGTTTTTAATCCAGAAAATTTTGAGAGTAAATGTGGACCTGTTTTTTAGTTTTTATATGTTGTGACGGGGTCTCATATAGTTCAGGCTGTCTTCTACCTACCCCAACTCATGAGTGCTATGATTACAAATGTGAAATACCAGGCCCAGCTTAAACATGGGTAAGGAAGATATAAAAACCCAGTTTTCATGTTTGGAGACCAGTATCATTGATGGCAAGCAGACACTCTGCAGATCTGACAACCACGCAAATTATTTTGTGATACAATGTTTTTCTTTCAATTTATAGTGCCTATGTTTACAACAAGCTAGATGCATAAAAATACTGATGCTAACATTAGTTTCGATTAAAAAATAAAAGGAAACATTTCAGACAATGGAAACCGCCAATCCCCAGTAAAGTTTCCTTAAAAACACTCAGAATTTACAGAAGAACGTGAAATAATTCCTACATTCCTGCCTGCCTGTTAGCCACCGTCACTCCACAGCTTTCATATTAAAAGCACTTGAAGACTTTAGTCTTTAATAAACTGTGCCCAGAGGACATTAGTAAGCGGCATGCATCGGGTGACAGGACAGTGCTTCTTGAGACAGCCAGACTCGTCAGCCATTGCAACAGGATCCCATGGACCTGTCTCAATCAACTTAATTAGGGACATCTGCAGCAAAAGACCGTAGCTCTGGCAGCTGATATGCACCAGAAAGGTACAAGTCACACGGGATGCAGGAGAGCTAGAATGACAAGTAGATACTCATCAGCAACATGAGTCGGCTCAGTCATCTGAGACTACTCGAGGTTGAAATAAAGCTGTAGTGCCCAGGGACACAAATGTCCAAATGTGCAGCTGATGAAAAGGCTGAAGGATATTTGGACAAACCTTTGATACGCTTAGCCCCTGCAGGAATCTCAACACTGTAATGGAGCTCCTCCCCTCCCCCACGCACCTGCTTGAACTCCTCAGTCACCCCACGGTACCTCCCAGGTTTGTCCTCACTTATTCCAAGGGTTTTCCTGCAAACAACTCCGCTCCCTTCCAAGATGGTGTTACCGATGGAAGTCTTTCTAGTCTTGGAAGCTGTGGCCCTTGGGCTGCTGACATCGTTGGTTTGAAACCTCGCCTGCGGAAGGAGCCTACCCTTGGCTCCACGCCACACCAGTCTCAGCTCTCGAAGGCCAGGCTGCTCTCACACCTTGTATTCCAGGCCTGGGCTTTACCACTCTGCCTCTACTGGTGCTAGCTGTGTTTCCATCTCTCTTCCTTGTTGATCACCATCTAACGTTCACTGAAGATGAAAGCGGCCGGATCCTTTGCTGATTTGGGCTTTGTATGCTTCCACACAGCAAGAAAACGTTAGGTTTCTTCAGAGACTAACTGTAAAGTGTTCCGTAAGAACACAGGTTGAGCAAGCAGGGGGAAGGGGCTGGGGCTGGGGGTGGGGGCAAGCCAGTAAACAGCACTCCTCCAAGGCTTCTGCATCAGCTCCTGCCTCTGGTTCTAGGCCAGTGTGGGTTCTTGCCTTGGCTTCTCTCAATGGACCCTTTCCTCCCCAGGCTGCTTTTGATCATGGTACTTCATCAGAGCAATGGTAACCCTAACTAAGACAGAACTTCTAACACTTTACAATTAGGGAAGGGAAGAAATGGGTCTCAAACCAAGACACCCATCTTCCAGGGCCCATAATGTGTCCTAAGCCAAAATTACAATTTATAAACAAATGGAGTTTTATTTGACATTTGACGTAAACATTTACATAGGTAATGAACTACCATGGTTTAGATCTAGATTAAACATTGTAAAATGGTAGCCTATAAATCCCTGTAAGAGATTTCCTACAAAGTAGAACTTTCTACCTTGTCTTGAGAAATGAGAAGCTAGGACAGCACAGGCTCTGTGTTTCCCTGTGTGGAAATTATCCGCTGGGCGGAAGAACAGTTTCTTCTCTGGACTGTCCCCTCTCCCGAGGTTTGTAGATCAGACTTGATTTTCTTACTTAGTGATGAGTGCATACATTGTATTAGCCACCTCGGCAGGGTGCGTACCCTGACAAAGAACTTCAGCGTTTGTCACTTCTCAGAGTTTTCCATGAAATCCATCATATTTCGCAGACTGTCTTTCATGTTAAGAAATAGTCATCAACACAGAACAGTAAAAAAATAAAATAGGGTTTTCACGGATTCCAGACAAGAATGAATTTCAGTTTTGTATGTAAGAATTTCCCAGAGGATGAGAAAACTTTGTTGAGTTTTTTGTCCAAGCAGGACAGACACAACGCAGGGAGACGCTGACAGGCAACCGTGAACCTCTGCATTGGCAAAAAGGGGCAGCTCCATTGCAAGTCACCCATCTATCCCACCCTGGATGGCTTCAGCTGGCAGAGAGAACGGATCTCTACACCACCAACTGTGAAGATGCCAGTCCAGTTGGTATCAAGTACCAACAAGCATAAGAAACACTGCCTCAACTTAAGTCTACATTTGAATATTAACTTCTGGCATTAGTCCACCGGGCTCCAGAATGTTGGCTAACTTGCCAGATGTAAAGTACAAGGAGAAGCCTGGCTATTTGATGCTATTTCTTATCTATGTAGGCCCCTATCATCCAAGTGCTAGTATATTAGCATATTTGCAAAAAATCACTACCCAATAGGAGAGCTTCTGTCTCAATAGATGGCATCTGTGCAATTTGATATTACTTTTTCCCTCCACACATGATAGAACTGTGCCTTGTTTAATACGTTTTTGGGTTAAGATATTTATTAGACTGAGAAATGGCTATTAATAAGTGGCTAAGGGAAGTGTCCTCAAGTCTGACTTGTGGCTGTTGTCACACCTTTCCTGTTGAACAAATGTGTCACAGTAGACAGTGGGTAAACGTTCCCTTTGTAAGTTACACAGGATGTGATGTTAATAATTAATTTGTCTTTGTGGATTAGCACTCATAGTCTTTACAGACTGGTCCGGGTGGAACCTCACTCCACTCCTGTGAGGTAGCTAATCCTGTCATATGCTTCGCACTTCCCAGCTATCGGTTTCAATGACCTCTACGAGATAAGTGTGAAGCGGCAGATGGTTCACAGTACTCAGTAACGTCCTATGACAGTTTAGAAGAGGAAACCACGGAGGGACTTTCATGGGGGCAATGGAGGACTGCGGGAACTTTCCAGGAAAGTCAAGAGGAAAAAAGAATGCCACTGCTGCCCACCAACAATTTGGTGAGGAACCCGGGAGAAAAACGGAAAGAGATTCTAAGGCTGTCAGTGGCGCAGTATTTTCCAAGTGGTTTAATCTGTGGCATTGCTAAAAGCAGAATGGAACCTGAAAACCCAGTATAATTTTAAGGGCTGAGCAAGAAGGACCACATCAGCAGCTCTATAACCTCGCATAAGACTTGTGCATCATAACATAGATGTGTCTAGGGCATCCAACAATCTGGTCAAATATTTCTCAGGAGAACTGACCCACCTAGACCATCCCAAAAAAGAGACCTCCTAGGACCACTCTCCTCTAGACTATACACCTTTAGAGGTGCCAAATGCTGGAGCTGAATGGTTTCTGGAGCAACGGGAAGCATATAATTAATATCAATACTTTCCAGAGGCTTAAAAAAATGTCCAGTGTCAACATCTTTTACAAAAGTGATTTTCAAACTGTGCTCATGTTTTTCATAGCCTGGTACCTTTTGAGATGGTACAGTTGGAAAATCAATAAAACATGAGCTGGGAGATGCCAGGGTGGCTTGAGAGCTTTGTAGGAAGCACGGAGGAGTGCAAGGCAGAGCACACAATACTTAGGCTGGAAGTATGCGAACCTTTAGAGGTGCGTATTTTTAGAGCTCCCTCATGAAGCTCTAGTCCAACACAGTTTCACTGATGGACAAAGTTATCAGCTGGGGTCTTTGGGGTTTCAAGACAAGACAAACTATTCTATCCTCACGGTTTCCCCCCTTCTGACTTAATTAACTAAAATGTAAATGAAAATGGCCAGTTCAACAAGAACATCGGAGTACAATTTGCAGGAGAACCCTTCATTGCCTTTCAATCGAGTACAATTCCCAGAAATCTCAGGTTCAGGAGTCTGTGCTTCTGATTCCCTGTAGAAATTCTTTATATTTAGTCTACTTATCTACCTGCAAGATGTTTCTGTTCAAACACACACCATATACATGTACTATGCATTTCCGTGTAACAGAAATATATTATTTCCGTGTTTGTTATTCTGACTCCAAGAAATGATGTAGTTTACAAACAAGAACAAGACACTGTAAATTAGAATTTACAGCCTAAAAACAAACACACACCAATGGAGCAAAAGAGAGTCTAAACAGTTAATTTCTTGCCTTGTAAGCATGAGGACCTGAGCTTGATCCCGAGAACCCACTTAAAAGTGTGAAGCCAGATGTCACTCGGGTATAATTCAAGTCCTGGGATGTGGAGACAGGATGATCCGTGGGACTCACTCTAACCTAAGTACAGAGTTTCTGTCTCAAATGAAGTGAATGGTATTTCTGAGGGTGACAACCAAGGCTGTCCTTTGGACTCTCTGAACACACAGGGAGATAGACAGACAAGCAGGCAGGCAGGCATGCGGAAAAGCATGGACCCACACATGCCATGCAAGCACACACACACACACACACACACACACACATACACACACACCGCACCTTTAAGACTTTTTTCCTTCTAAAACAGATTAATAACTTACAATTCATTGGAAAAAACTCTTTATCTTTCTAGATTATAGTTGCATGTTACTAAGAAAGGCAGAAAAGGAAAACCACATGTCAAAGGGCTCTCTATCAGGCATTCCTTTGAACTGTTCTACAACACACTGTGTTGAATGCAACCGTGAAAGAATTTCTGGTAATTACACTGATTCTATTTCAACTCTCTTTGGTTTATCAACTGCTTTTTAGAGATAGACTTCACAAATATTTTCTTTCCCTGAGTAATCCTACTATCTTTAGGGTGGACCTAACAGCAATAGCCAAGCTACTAGTACATTGATGTCCAGTAATAGACGTGGCATTCTCTCTCCCTTTTTTTTTTTTTTTTTTTTTTTGGTTTTCACGAGACAGGGTTTCTCTGTATTGTTTTAGAGGCTGCGGGTCCAGCCCGGCCTCGAACTCACAGAGATCCACCTGCCTCTGCCTCCCAAGTGCTGGGATTAAAGGCATGCGCCACCACCGCCCGGCTCATGGCATTCTCTTGACGGACTTTCTACCTGCAGTTGCCTTTGACCCGGATAGTTGGCATATGACTAATCCAGGCCACCCTATATGGATGATAATTTTTATGCTGGGTGAAAAGCGTAGAGCTTTAAGTACACTGTAGGTTATTTGCTAAATGATGCAAACTAGTATGCTTCCAAATCAAACACATACCTGTTGTAAGGAGAGCCTCCCTGGTGCTAAAGCACACTGTAACAAGACTTCAATCAGAGGCTGATATTTAGAGGCAGCATAACTGATGAGCGGCAGTGGGATTTCAGGTCATTCTCGGTGATAACCACTAAAACACGGGCAGCTTTTCAAAGCCCCTGGAAGGAAAAACACTCTCTCTCTCTCTCTCTCTCTCTCTCTCTCTCTCTCTCTCTCTCTCTCTCTCTCTCTCTCTCTCTCTCTCTCTCTCTCTCTCTCTCTCTCTCTCACGCACACACACAAAGCCTCTGACAGATACATAACACTGAGACAGAAATGCCCGTCATTATGTCTCACCGAATAATCCACATGTGCCCCATTACACAGCTGTTTGTGTGACGCCCTGTTGCTGCAGAAGCTCACAGCTGCTGCTCCTGCTCCAGCAATTAATATGCACGCCAAGCCCAGTGGCCAGCAGCTAGGAAGCAGAGGAGGCATGCAAGGGAGGTGCAGAGCCCAAGACCTCAGCAGAAACCCTGATCAGCATTATTCGGGAAGGTTTAGTTGCTTGCTCAAATTCATCACTAACAAAAGGGCCTATTTCCCAAAGGTTTGAGCTGTGTAATTAGCAGCAACAAACACTGCCCCAAATCAGGTCAACCTGTGAGATTAGTTACAAAGGTTTTGTAAATTTCAGAAGATATCTACACAGATGTCAGGAAAACACATCACACACACACACACACACACACACACACACACACACACACTACAGCATAATGGATGCAGCCACAGCCATTAAGTAGTTTTGGATCTGTAAGACTCAGACAACCAATACATTTCATGGGGGAAGTCATAAAAGTCAGATAGGAAAAAATATATGGCATGGAAGTTGCAAACTTCTAGGCGGCATGTAAAAAACGCAGGGAAGTACCAGAGGAAACACACGGACTGGATCTCATCACTCTTGATGAATAAGACAGGGTCACCTGAGTTTACTTCTGGAACCCACACAAGTCCCTTAGTATCTAATTATTTCGTGGAAGGATTGAATTTCCTCGTGCGGGCATTTACTGTTGTCATTAGACTGTTCATACTTCATTACTCTGCTTTCAAAATTGGAACTTTCATTTTATTTACAGAAGTCTTTATGCTTCTCTAAGGCTGTTCTAAAAATATAAAATTAAGCATCGCTAACCTTTCCATCAGGAAAGTATATGGAACCAGAGAGATACAAACCCATTTCTGCACTGCAAACTGATTAAAAAGGCTCAAACTCAAGGAAGGAACTTTAATTTTGATTAGAAGAATAATTTGCAAGTGATTGGGTCCAGAGTGACATTACAGATGAATGTTAAAGCTGGTGACCTCATCTTGACCAATCATTCCAGTTTCCTTAGATTTGTTCATATTTGGTAAACAACACTGTTTAACATTCACAAGGTGACTAGTAGTTTTTTTTTTTTAAGCCAGTTGGAGATTTTCAATTCAGAAGTCAAAATGTTGTCTTGGTTACCAATAAAAATAATTAATAAAACACCTCTAGCCCAAGGGTGCATATGCAAGCAAGTGGATGGTAATAGATTATAAAAGTGCACTTCCTTCTACATCTGGTACTAATTAAAATCTGATCAGAGCAATAATTGAGCAATGCCCAGGCTATCCTTAATTCTTCGTGTCACGTTTCAATTGTATGACACAAAAGCACTGACCTCAATAAGTGAAAACACATTTAAAAATCTAAATTATGCATACTATCCTTATGCAGGCCAACAAGTGATTTACTGTTACTGTGGGGTTTGGGGGTTACAGGAGACACAGAAGTTTCCTAGTGAGGTCTGAACGTCACTTCTGGAGCAGGGGGATCCCTGGGACTTTCATTCCTAGGCATTCCTTCATCAAATCTAAACACAAAACTAAGTATCACTTCCCGAATTAAAATGAGGTAATAAGCCATTTCCTAACTGAGCTGTGTGTATATGTGAGCTAGGCATGTTGCTAAGCATTGCAGGTTCCTGAAAGTCTTTGTGGGATCCTGTAGCAGAAGGATAATTTGATCCTGCTAACATATAAACACACTGATTCACAGACTGTTTCCACAACCCACAATCTGAGTTTATCACACTTTATTAAAGTAAGAGGAAAAGAATATATATACATATACATATATGTATATATATATATGTTGTAAACAAGGAAAAGAATGTTGAATTTCCAGCATAAAATACTTATACTCAGGCTGCAGAGATGGCTCAGTGGTTAAAAGCACTGGCTCCTCTTCCAGAAGACCTGGTTCTATTCTCAGCACCCATATATAGCACAGCCATCTATAATGGGATCTGATGACCTCTTCTGATGTACATGAAGACAGAGAGTAGTCATATACACAAAAATAAATAAATAAATCTTTAAAAAATACTTGTACTCTCTGAAATACCTCTTATGAAAGAGCAAAATCTCAAAACCCATTAGAAACAGTACTGACTTATTCTTTTGGACATGACAACTAAAGAGAAAAATGCCTGCTCCTATCCGTTTTAAAAATCATTAGAAAACACAAAATAATATATATCCATGTCCAAAATGTTCTGTTTTTAACATACATAAAGTTCTAGTTAAAAGTGGAAATCGAACATTACCAGTTTGATATAACCATTTAAAGAAATACACATCAATGCTTGAATTGAAGGGGTTTTCCCCCCATAAACCAATATGTTCCTAGAACCATTCAGCCATTTTTTTATCTGCTCAACATTTACTGCTCCTATTTAAAATCAAATTCAGTGGCACATTTTGTAAAAATACTACATCTTGCTTCATGCATAGATTCATGACAGAGACAAGAAATACTATCAGCTAGAGCATAAGATAAGAAAATAATAAAAATTTCCATTTTGTACAAACATAGCATACAAAACTCTTGTAAAATATAATCCTCTCAGGCACTACAGAAACCAAGGCTAATGGCACATGGCTGGATGGGTCCTGAAAAGGAGCCTGGTGAGGAGGGGCAGATGTTCTATATATAAATTAAGTCAATGACTGAGTCCCTTCCACGAGTGAAGTAAAGGCAACTGAAGGCCATAGACACCTCAGAAGGGACCACAGGGCAGGCAGAACCGTGACAGTGGGAAGACTGGGAAGCTGGCCAGAGACAAGCAACAGGGGACAAACTGAAGGAGGCATTGGATGCTACACCTTGGGAACCACCTGGACTTTGTTCCCTTTCACGGTCCCGCCCCTACCCTCATCCCCATCCCATAGTTACTAGAGCACAAGGCCTACCTAGTAACTATGGACTGAACTTTCTGAAACTGTGAGCCTAAATAAACAATGCCTCCCTTAAAGGGCATTCCTTAGATACTCAGCCACAGCCCCCCCCAAAAGTAACTAACATAAATAGTCTCATTACTACAGAGTTCTAAGACTGAGAAAATCCAGCCGGGCGGTGGTGGCGCACGCCTTTAATCCCAGCACTCGGGAGGCAGAGGCAGGCGGATCTTTGTGCGTTCGAGGCCAGGCTGGACCGATAGCCTCCGAAACAATACAGAGAAACCCTGTCTCGTAAAAACCAAAAAAAAAAAAAAGAAAGAAAAAAAAGACTGAGAAAATCCATTCCTCTAATAGCAAGAGATGCATAAGGTGCAGATGGAATGTATCTTTGCATTATTTATTATTATTATTATTGCTTAGTAAACATACTTACAAAATGAAAATGTATTCTTGACTAGTCCTCTACCCAGAAAACACTCATTTTAGCTCTACCCTTGTAGAGCTAGGGAATGAGAAGTTGATGATGGCTTGTGCGTGTTTCCACTTTCACTCTGGGTCTCTGTAGCCTACTTTCAGGGAAG